CCCTTCAGGAAGAGACCTCCGTACAGACCCAGAATGCCAGGTCCTAGGACCCCCCTTTCAGTACCAGAGCCGATGAAACAGCGTCAGCAGTATGACAGACTAGTCTTTGGATTGTCTCCAGGTAAAAAGCGACAGTTGGTTGACAGCGTCAGATGGACCCGGAGGGTCAGTGAGTTCAGCTTTTATTCTGAAAGGAACCGTTGCTTGGTTGGTAAAGTGCGACAGATTTTATCCAGCTTGTTGGTTCTTTGCTTAAAAAAGAAGTCCGGGTGGCCGGTCCGATACTTCTCTTACCCCAAAATTCCACTATCTCTGCTCCGCTGCGCTCCACTCCGGCACGAACTCTGCAGCAAAAACGGTCCAGTTGTAGTCAATCAGAGCTGTTCCACTACTGCGGCCATGCAGCGCAGTGCGCCGCCCTCCGTTCCGCCATCCGGCAAAAATAGGATAGATTCTATTTTTGCCGGACGCCGGAGCACCTCCGCATTCAATGGACAGAAATCACAACCGCCCAACAGGAAAGGGAGCAAGCACAGCGTCCGTTATTTCACAATAAATCGATAAATAAAAAGCGTTTTTTGTTTCAAATGCAAAGGTTTAACAACTTTTAACAACTATCAATGGCGGCTGAACTTTAAATGCACAAAAATAAGCCATAAATACAGTTTCCACTATCAAAGTAGTCACACTTTGTTGATCCAAACACTGCTGATCTCTCAACACAAATGATGGGCAGATTAAACAGTTCATTTCGATGCTTCTCCCACACAACGGGTGTTTGGATCTAACTTCCGCGTTTATTGCTCAGACTGTATCGCAAGATCTCGAAAATCCCATCGCATGCCTGTTTGCGCAACTCAGGTCTCCGCACCGGAGCGGAGCCGTTGTAGAGCGGGTACAGTATAATTTGAGTTTGGAAGCGAGTGGCAGCGGAGGGCGGGGGCGAAGTGGAGCTGAGATAGTGGAATTTTGGGGTTAGAATGAGGTGAACTGGCCTTAAGATGGCGTGGGACTGGTCTTATTAATCTGGATGTTTTGATTTCTGGTCGAATCAAAGTTGGCAGATTTATAAGCACCACAGAGACTATGCCACGCTTCAGAAAGGAAGGTTCCGACTGGATGAGTAAAAGCAATGTGTCATGCGTTTACATTACGTGTCGTCAGAATGTCTAGTGCAGCTAGACTAGTCATATTACTTATTAAACGTACTAATCATAACATTGTTATTTCACAGATTGGTCAACATTATACTATTGACTAACGCTTTGTTTGATTAGATTTATTAAAAATAGAGTTCTTTGATTTATTAAAAAGAAAGAGTCATTTGTCTTCATTCTTCTCTTGGGCTGGAAAGGAAGCAGTTTAGAAGCAAATGCATGACCTTGAGGCAGTCTCATGCAGATTAGTTCTTTCTGAGGAGAGGGGGAAAATGACTTTCAGGTGGAAAACAGTCATTTCATTCCGTTACACCTGTAATTTTCGATCATAGAGACATCAGCACGAGGTTTCTTCAAGGTCGGCCGAACAACTGCTGCTTTCAAAGCAGCTGAGACCACACCTGTGCTGAAGCTCCCATTGATAATCTGACCAAGTGATGGGCCAAGACACGGAAAGGCAGCCTTCCAGAGACGAGGCGGCAGAACCTCAAGTGGAGAGCCAGATGGCTTCTGCCTTGCAATAAGCTTACTCAGCTCAGAATAAGAAATAGTACTGAGGGAGCTCAGGGTGGGTGGTGATGGAGGAACTGGAACAGGGTCAACAGAGTTACCAGAAATAGCTGCTCTAATGCCTGATACTTTATGAACAAAGAATTTGTGAAAATCTTCAGAGTTTCTAGCAGCTGTAGGAGACATGAAGGTAGGCTCCTGATACACCAGAACAGAGTTTAGTGTTTTGTAGAGAATCTTGGGTTTCTTGGAGTTTGTTTCAATGATGTCTGCAAAATAGGCCGTTCTGGCAGCCCTCACAGCATCCTGATAAGCAACCAGAGATGCTCTGAACAACTCACGCAAGACCTGTAGGCCATCCTTTTTCCACTTTCTCTCAGAGGATCTACACGTCCGCCTACAAGCCCGTGTGACATCAGAGAGCCAAGGCTCCCTCCTAGGCCCAGACTTGCAAAGTTTGAGAGGGGCAACCACGTCCAGGACCTGATTACAAAGTAAATTAAAGTGTTGTAAATAGTGATCAATGTTAGATGGATCTGGGTTAAAGTCTCTAACCTTACAGACATAAAGTCCACAAGCTTTGCAACAGTTTCTGCATCCAGGGCTCTGAACCTAGTAGCTGGAGCTTCACACACAGGGACAGGGCATGGCAACGTAACATCACAGAGTATTGGAGAGCAAACACTTACAGGCAAAAAAGCATGCCAACAAGGCGCTTCACAGATCAACAAAACATAAAAGCATAAAAACATTGGGTCAAATAAAAGAGGAATAAAAACCACAAATTATAAAAACACAAATATAGCAAAACCCTTTAAGTAATGACAACGAAACTAATTAGAAAGATTAGAAGACACATCATAAAAATAGGTTTTCAGCCTTGCCTTAAAAACTGCCACAGAGGTGGAGACCCTTATGCTGAGAGGAAGCTCGTTCCAAAGCTTAGGACCTGCCAAAGCAAAGGCCCATCACCACATGCCTTTAGGCGCCATCTTGGGAACGCGAGCAGCATAAGGCTCTCCGAGTGACTGGGCAGGGGTGTGTGACTGAAGCAACCACGCCAATTAAGGAGGCGTCAGACCATTCAACGTTTTTAATACCAGCAAAAGAGTCTTAAAACGAATCCTTACATCAACGGGCAGCCAGTGAAGGGTTGCCAGGACAGGGGAAATGTGATTGTTTTTACGCTTGCCCTCTTAAGAATCTGGCAGCAGCACTCTAGATATCAGATATGCTGTTGCCATGTTTATACAGAAACTAAAGTAGTTTTTGCTTTCTTTAAAGCATGTCCCTAATCCATGAGATGTTAGAGGACAGCAGAGTCTGGACCTCAATCTAAACAAGTGCATTCATAACTATTCAGTTTAAACAACAGCCTTCAGCTTGTATTTGAGAGTTTTGTCCTTTGGATGAACCAGATTTTTGCCTGAGAGCGTTGATGGGTCTGGAATGTTGCGTTTGGAGAAAATTCTTCTTAAGTCATTTAGACACGCCTGGCAGAGATGAGCTTCCCCTGAAAGAAACGGGGGCAAAGCCTTTTCACCAATACGACCCAACCTCTCCAAATCTCTAGCAGGAAGTTAAACAGCTATAGTAGCTGTGTTTTAATACACACAACACAAACACACATCCGTGGTATTTTGTCTTGATTAATGGTGTTTTGGAAAGCATGCACTTTAGATAAAATTCATGGTTATTATTAAAACCAGAAAAATAATTTCAATAAAAAGACAAATATTCACTAATCAGTAAAAAAAAAGATAGCTGGAAGTTGTCATATGGGCTCCTGCTCCAAAGGACCATCTTGATGTTTAATCGGTAGCACGTAGCAAATTAAAGTCCCACTAGTTGTCACACGTGTGACGTTTTACCCATCCCCTGGGGGAGCAGTAAGCTGTAGACACAGCCACGCTCGGAAAAAGTTTCTGTCCTAGACAAACTAGGGATAATAAGCATGTTTGATGGGAACGGCGTAAAACATTATTGTCAGATCTGGATCATCATGGTACAATAGAAGCTCATCAGCAAAAACAGTATGACAGGAGTTCTCTGCCATTATTTGGGAGAGGATGAAAAGCCTAAAGCATGGAAGGTGTTGACAGGTAAATTAAAGTTATGCTCTCTTTATCCATTTTTAAAGCCATGAAGGCACCTGTTCAGCTCAGGGACCAGATCGGGCTTTGCGTTTGTAACACACACACACACACACACACACACACACACACACACACACACACACACACACACACACACACACACACACACACACACACACACACACACTCACACACACACACACACACACACAGACACACGCACGCACACACACGCACACACGTACGCATGCACATGCGCACACACACACACACACACACACACACACACACACACACGCGCGCGCGCACGCATACACGTACGCATGCACGCGCACACACACACACACACACACACACACACACACACACACACACACACACACACACAAACAGAGCCTGCAGCTTCATATGAGACATGGATTTGAGTCTTGTTCCAACCTGGCCCTTGTCTGAACATTCCAGCGTGGCCACGGGCAAACTTACTGGCGAAAGCTGAGAGGAAATAGAGACGGCGAAATTCCCGGTGGGATTTACAAACCCGTCAACTAACAGAAACAAAAAACATAAAAAGAGAAAAAGCAGAGAAAGAGGATTCTACATTGCTCCATTCCACATCCAAACAAGGTTTTAGCTAACAGCAGGATTAGAACACTGTTTTCACTAGGACACTATGTCACGAATGCAGCATGATTTCTGTTTGATAGAAGCCGCCATTTTATGTATCCCTTTTTTCTCTTTGTAGATGTAGCACATTTACCTTTTAACTCTATTGATTTGTTTTCATAGACGAAGGTTCTCGTTCATCAGGAGCAAGGTAGTCCCAGTAAGGTTAGAACAAAGGCAATAGGAAAAATCGCTGGTTAATCCAAAAGTTACCCATGATTTTACCATCTGATGAACTGTATTTTACTGGATTACCCATGATCTATATTCTATCCATGATCAGTGTTCTATTTACTGGATTGAAATGCCATCTAATTTAACTTCTGTTGTTGGTGTTTTTAATCTGAAGCACTTTGATCCTTATACTCACTGGAAAAGCAATAAGGGACATTTATTGGTTGGTTGGTTGGTTGGTCGACCGACTGAACTTTCGATGGATGGATGGATGGATGGTTGGTTGATTAATTTACACAATTATAATTTACAACTAGTCGGTTCTCTTCTCCCTCTAAAGCTAAACGTAGCAGTCATGTCACCAGTTTGACGGAGAACATGATCAGAGACACAAACAAACCTCAAACAGCACAGCAAGTGCCGTGATCTTGCCCCTGGCCTTGATGGTTTCATCCAAAGAGTCAAACTGATGCGCCTCATAACAGTAGATCTGCATCTGTAGGACAGAACAAACATGTGCGAAACTCGGTTAGGTCTACTAATGGCCACTCAGACACCGGCTGAGACTATCTGCTGTTGGTAGTTTGGTTTAATTTCGTTTTTATTTCAAGTGTACACCAGGAGGAGAGAAGGTTGACCACATCACAATCTCTACTCTAGTGAAGCATATCAGTGTTTGGACTATTTAGCAATGCCTCCATAGGGCAGGAGTAGGCTACCCTGGTCCTTGTCCAGCATGTTTTAGCTGTTTCTCCGCTCCAACATACCTGATTCAATGGTCAAGTCACCTGTTCAGCAGATCATCAAGTTCTGCAGAAGCCTGCCAATCATCTACTGATAAAACTCAAGCATGTTGAAGCAGGGAAGCAACTAAAACATGCTGGATAGTGGAACTCAAGGGCCACGATTGCCCTCTCCTGCATTAACCTGACATAGGAGATGCAGCTCTGCTACCTGCAGGTGGTATTAATTCTTCTACTGAACATGAAATGTTTTACTTGTTATACTGTTTGTTATTAATGTACATTCCTACATCATTTTGCAGCTACATTTCCCACCCCAGTTCCTCTTGTGTGCATGAGATTAAAATAGGTGTTACCTCTAGAGGGTATGTAACTCCATCCAGACTATGTTCCGAGCCATCTGATGAAGAATTGCAGCGCCCCCAGTGGAACGTGATGCACCCCACCTTGAACTTTGAGCTGAGTCCACCTCCACTGACATAAAACTCTCCGTCCACACAGACTTCCACTGAAGAAAGAGACGTAAACAAATGGGTGTTTTGTCCGTTTCTTTGAAAAAAATCCATCAAACAAGAAATGAAACGAACAAAATAGTTCTCTGTAGGTTAGGTTGTGTTCATGTAGACCTAAAGGTGCCCCCAGGGTAAATGTACTTTTAAAGTGGAACAAAAGCAGATCTTACTGCAGATGTTTTATCTGCTGCTCATGACCTTGTAGAAGTGTGAGGCTACCACTAGGTTGGAACAATCCCATATTTCATTTGAATGCACTGGTCATCATCTTAATCTCTATTAAGGCATTACACTGCTGAACACAGACATAGAGAGGAGTTTGATTATGTTTTATAAAAGAAGTTATGTCTAGATAAATGCGTGTACCCAAAATACTAAAATAGTGGATCAATAACGTTCTGTCACACAAAGGCTATTAGGAACACTGACTGAAGAGCGTTGTTGAAGTGTTCTTGTCCTTTTATTGTGCTTTTATTTATATTTCTAGAAAAGTCCCACCTTTTCGTGTTTAGCATTATTAGCTTGAGAAAAGCAAAGGCCAACAGAATCACACAAATTGTGCAGTGGAAGCGTGGTTGTGTGCAGATCATCTCAGCATCATTAAACGTGACCTGGTGCATCCTGTTACGCTGTGTTTCATTTTAATGTTTAGTCTGGTCTGAGAAATACAAAACTCACTGGTGGATTTATTCACACTCCATAAAAGTATAAACATCATCCACTGAACTTGAATTGAGCTCAAATGGTCAACTAAACACTTATTAATCTAATGAATGGACCGTGGTGATGAAACAGCTGATACGGCGTGATTCTTGCCCATTTTATCCAATATTCACTGAACTCTGTCTGACACCTAGAAATGTTAAGCAAATACATTCTCAAGTGAATTTTTATTATGGCACTTCTACCGTGCCAATGTGTGACGAATATCGTAGCGATAAAGAGATTTGACTAAAAATCCAAAAATAACAAATCCTGACACGGATTTCTGAGAATGCACCAATAATAAATGAGATTAAAGATAGGGGACTTTTAGAAGGTTGGTTTAGTCCTTACCAAGTAAACCCCAGAGGTCTGACTCTGTCACCACTCCCATCCATGGTTGTTATGTTGTTCTCACCTGTCTTGCCATTGTTCTTAATGGTTGTCCGGTCACTCGTCAGACTCTCCCATCCATCAAACCTCAGCTTCTGGTACTGCAGCTTAACTGGAGCCAGATTCTCCTCAATGTTGATGGGAGACTGCTTGGCACTGCTGCACGATGGAAACTTCTTGGCCCAGTTTTTTTGGTTTAATGTTCCTGGTGGGGATTCATGGGAACAATGTTCAACTAGAGAACATGTCATGAGGAGCACCTGACAGAGACTGCAGTCATGGAGCAATGCATGATGTGTCACTGTAGCTGGGGCGAAGCAAGTACAGGTGCTTATTTCTGCTGATGTTGCAGAGTGATGTAGACGTCATGAGGAGCAGCCTTTCAGGGTTGTTGTAGAGAGACAGACGTTCCAGAGGAATAGATGCTCTGAGAACCGGCGGTATACCAGTAAGCTGATGTTTGTGCTGCTTTAGAGCAACACATCAAAAACAATAGTAGCGCTCCGACATCCACATAATTCTATGATCAGAGAAGGTTAGTCTGTGTTACTGTACAGCTGTGCTCCATGACCTTGAGAGCGTCCCTCTGAAGGGTTTGCAGTTTCTAACAACACAGTTAAACCTGCGATGGATTAAAGCAACATAAAATGTTTAGTGTGTCTGGACAAGCCAGCATCAAAAACTCAGTTCTGTTTATTTATACACCGCCACATCACAACAAGGCACTTCACACAGTAAGCATTCCAATACATGTCAGTTCATTAAGCCAAACGTTTCCTATGTAAAGAACCCAGCAGGTGGCATCGAGTCACTGACTCGTCAGAGTCTTTACAGCAATCCTCATACTAAGCAAGCATGCAGCGACAGTGGAGAGGAAAACTCCCTTTTAACAGGAAGGAACCTCCAGAGGATCCTGGCTCAGGTGGAACCAAACCGTGAGCTAACTGCACTGTGATCAGTGGAATCCCTTCACTCTAATATCTTCATCTGGACACTCACCTGCATACGACCAGTCGATATCTTGTGAGAACTTGCGCTGGTTCCTGTAGGTGTACGCTTCAGCTGCAGGAACAAGAGCAGATGGTTATAGATGCAACTGACCTATTCATGTTTATTTGTTAAGATTAAACAAAAAGACTTTAGCTTTTAAATCAATTCAAGTTTATTTACATAGCACTAAATCACAGCAAGAGTCATCTCAAGGACTTTCACACAGTAAACATTCCAGTCCAGGTCAGGTCATTAAGCCAATCAGTAAAACGTTTCCTACATAAGGAACCCAGCAGGTTGCATCGAGTCACTGACTAGTGTCAGAGTCTTTACAGCAATCCTCATTAGCAAGCCTACTAGCGACAGTGGAGAGGAAAACTCCCTTTTAACGTACCCTCCTTATAAAACCAGGCTATGTCCACTACCTTAGACACATTAGACGAGTGGACTAATATCAGCTCCATGAATTGGGATTAAAGATTGGGATTTTGTTCTTAAGGATCTTCTGTGCATTCATTCTGTGTCTCTTTTCTTAAACTTGTCTTTCTTGGTTCTTTTTTCACACAGAGAAGAAAAGTTTTCCTTTACCGTATTAGCTAACGTTTCGGCTACTTCCTGTAGCCATCATCAGAGCCCCAATGAAAACAGAAGAGGAAGTGATGCTGCCAACATTGCTCTGTCCAGAGCCGGGATCGAACCTGCAACCTTCCAATTGCTGGACAACCCACTCAACCTGTTGAGCTACTGCTGGCCCAATGGGAGCTTGGGCTTTTGCCTGCAGTGTGAGGAACGACGACACTTCTGATCTCTTGTCTCTGGGTTCCACAACGACTGAATCCATCTAACAGACGTTCATAACCAAACCTCCTTTGGATACAAAGCCTCTGATTCATTATTTACTGAGGTTGACACTGAAAGACAGAAGTCACATGACTTTCCTTTATTTATGTGACCTTCATCTTTTAGCTGGAACAGAACAGACAGGAAACTGTGAGCTCCATCTCAGCTGAGGTGGAAATGCAAACAGCAGGTCTGACATGAATCACCTGTCTGCTCGCCAAGGTGAGTGTGTGTGTGTGTGTGTGTGTGTGTGTGTGTGTGTGTGTGTGTGTGTGTGTGTGTGTGTGTGTGTGTGTGTGTAAGTGATGCTGCTTCATTTGTTTTTCATTCCTTAAGGTTCTCATTCTCCAGTACTACATAAAGGTTAAGAGTCCTCGTAAGGTTATTTATAAGAAATGATCAGAAAGTCCACAGGCTAGGGTTAGGGGTAATTCCTGTAATTCTACCCGAGTTACCACAGCAACAACTGAACATGTGAACACTTAAGGAGCAGACTTAGTGACAACCTGTTCCACTAAAATAAGGTGTGATGACGCTGATCCTAATAGTCAGCTGACTGATAACTCGGACCTATTACATCACTGAACTGTCATTGCAACAAATTAGATTAAACTGTGAGAAGTAGAAGTATCCATAACATCACTTTACACTAGATGACGGCCTCGTTTAGTTTTGACTTCAACACAGTTCAGGTGTCTGTGTGTATTGTTGGGATGAAAAGGTAATAATCAGTAATAAAACACTTTCACTGCCTCCTGACATCTGTTTTTAGCATGTCAGGAACCCTGAACGCAGATGTTTGGTGTCTGATGAGCCCTCAGCTGTTTGAGCTCTTCTCTCTCATCTCCTCATTGTGCTGATGAACAAACAGGAAGTGTCTGGCATCTAACGCTACAGGTTTCACTTACTGACCACAAGGAAAACGTTTGTCACACCTGGGGAGTCGGACACGCCCAGGTTCAGGCATTTCTCAGCAGAGTTCAGACCATTTATCGTGGCTCTGCCTTCAAATCTGGTCTATTTTTAGCTGTATCGCACATCATCATCTAAAGTATGATAAGTGGCATAAGGATCCTGCTGTGGTTTATGAACAACACAGAAGTCTGGCATCTGGACCATCCTTCATTATTGTTTGTTCACTAGAATGTTTTTGTGATTGAGTCAAGGCATTAATACTTTTAATATCGTTATTATATTAGTGAGAAAGTTAGTCAACCACTAAAACCTGAGAGCTGCTGGTGTTACAAACACAATACTATCTGTGGCACTAAACACATTTTCTTTCATTGAAATTTTTCAAAAAATGACCAAAAGATTTTCATTCTGCCAAATGTGAATCCCATGTTAAAGACATTTATTGTGTCTGTTCAGCTTTAAATGCTTTACTCGTTTCCTGAAGCAAAAAGTGAAGCACGATGAAAACCTGAAGATTAAAAAAGCTGTAAACCAAAAAAATAAAAACGACCTATTTGTTGGCTTTAGAGAATCTCAGAACACTAAATGGAATAAAGGGTTTCTCCATGAATGATGGAGAACCAAGAAGAGAAAATCTGATTTAAAATGAACAGAATAAAGAAAATGAAGACAGAAAAGAGCCGGGGGAAGGGATGTGGGCTTATGTTCTACTAGAAAGAGTAGATGTGGAGAATAGAGTCTACGGAAAACTCCTCCACAGCGTCTGTGTGGAAAGAAAAGGCCACAACCGTGTCAGTGTGTTCATTCAGAGGGGAGTAGCATGCTCCGCACTCCGATCTGGGAGCGCCGCAGCCTCCAGCCTGACGCTGAATAAGAGGATTAGCTGAGTCCTGGGAGAGCCCGGATATCCACAGGCTTTTGGGGTGAGAACTGGTGCCCACGCCAGAACGTGTAACAACCCACCACTCCCCTCTTTCAGCCCAGTCATCCAACTGAATCCTTGCCCCTCTGCTCCAGATGCCAAAAGGACAAGGGTCTGGGCTGGGTGGGGGTGGGGTGTGTAAGACTCACACTAATCTGGGGACGGTCTGGACCTTCATGTCTCCCAGCAGTGGTGTGGTGCCACTGTCAAGTCTAATTTTTTATTTACATTTACCAACGTTCTTCTTTACATCATCATTCAAATATTTCTTCTTGTTTGGTACTCCTTAAATTGTTAATGGAGATCAATCCCCCCAACCCTATCAGCCGTCTGCTGGTGGGAACGTCGGTGGTTTGGTCCTAGCTTTACCACATGTCAGTGTCCTTGAGCAAGGCACTTAACCCCACGTAGCCCCTCTGATCTGTGAATCAGGGGCATGAATGTGTGTGAGCGTGGTTGTAGTGCGATGAGCTCCTATCAAGCCATCATAATGTAGAGAACATAGTCTCAGCTCCAGCAGGCTTCACCTCATCAATGAGAATCAGCACAGAAATACCAGAACATGTACAAGATGGTGATGATCGGTGTGGCCGCCATGATCCTATTGGCTGGGGAAGTCTGGTGAGGTTGCAGCACAACATTCCAAGTACAAACAAGGAGAGAGCGTGTGTTTTATTAGCTCTCAGAGCTGAAGTGCAGGAAGGAGGACGATGGACGTTAGCAGGAGAAGCACTAAATCTTAGTTCAAAAGAAAACACACAATTTCTAAAGAGCGAGAGCAAAAAAATACTTCTGCTCTTAAATAATAATAATGATGCTGTGGACTAATGGTGTTACATCACTCCCATGGTTTGCTGATGTTTTTGCATTTTTTTCTATTAAACACTCGTGATTGCTTTAGAAGTTATAACTTATACACAGAGATGCTTTTTACAAGAAGTCTAAGCCATTAAAACAAAAATGCATGAGGAAACCTCAGTGGCCTAGTGGTAGAGTGTCAGCCCTGGGACTGGCAGATTGGGATTAAATTCCCGGTCGTTTCATACAAAATACTTTATCAGTGGGACTCAATGCCTCCCTGCTTGACACTCAGCTTTAAGGGGTTGGATTGGGGGTTAACCCACCAAAGGGTTCCCGAGCGCAGCCACTGCTGGAGCTCACCGCTCCCCACGGGGATAGGTCAAATGCAGACATGAATTTCACCAGTGTGTGATGACTGTAGGGGCTGCATGACTCAATTTTATTTAAGTCTACAGTCAAGTAATGAAAATCTAGCCGACTTTGACTAATCATTGATGACGTCATACACCTGAAGAGGCTAAAACAGACGATGGGTGACCAAGAGTTTTTTTCCGACGCACGTTGGGAGGCAGCGTTCTGGCACAGCGCATCACTTTTTGACACCCGCGGTAAAATGGAGATTTCACAGAATTGTGACTTTTACCCTCTTGCTATTAACCCTTCCCCTCACCTCCACCCTAACCTTTACCCAGTACGTCAGTCTAAATTTTCCGTTAAGTGTGTTTGAAAGGAACAATGAAACACAAAACAAAGCTTTGCATGCGCAAGCTGGTTAAGGTTAGGATGGGGGTGAGGGGAAGGTTAAATTGCAAGAGAGTAAAGGTCACAATTTGGTCAAATTTCCATTTTACCGCAGGCGTCAGATACCGACACACAGAGGCACGTCACCTGCTGTCTTTTCCGAGGACTGCATCTTGTCGGTCATTATCACGTGACAGCGACTAGTCGAGGAAAGGCATAAAAAGTCAGTACTGAGGAGTGAAGTCGACTAGCCGACAAGCCCCTACAACCCATAGATGACTGAAGGGACTTTATGGTGCTTTAATTGATACAAGCAGCCAATCAGATCAGCCCATTTGCTTGGGACAAGAGCAGATAGAGGAACTTCGTCATTTACTTTGTCAAAGGATATATTTGCTTCTTCAACAGTGGATGGTGGACTATCTTGTTGACTGATTTCCATCTTGATGAATACGTCACATTTTTGCCCTGGTTGGTCTACCGTTGTCCAATTGCATGAGGAGACAGTTTGAAAGACAACCGTAGATTCTGCTTCATGACTGAGCTGTCATGACCAGACTATACAGATATAGGACACCTGTCAGGATACAAGAGCGTAAGACTCTTGAAAAATGCTGACAGAAATGCAGCACTGAAATACTGCAGTTGAGATAATAAAGTGGCAGTGTTATGATCAACAGTAGAAATAGACACTCTTAGAAAATAACATTTTAATAAACAGTAATGACCATCTTTGTTTATCTTTGTTTAAGGATTTCATTATTTAGGACAATTTTCAAATTCTCTGATGACTAATTAAGATTCAGGCATATACGTGTTCTTTTTCTTTAGTTCTTCATTAAACAGAGTGATA